AAGCCCCATGCAGAAATTTGTCCTGCTCCAGGGCCTTTGCACAGGCTGTTTGCTCTGCCTAGAAGCCTTTCCCCTCTCCTTATTGCCTCCTGATTAACTGCTATGCATCCTCCAGTTTTCAACAGATAAGTGATTTCCTCCAAGAAGCCTTCCTTGACTTCACAGTCTAGGTCATGTATCTATACTACAGGCTCATAGAACTTTGCTTTTGAATACTTCCTTTGGGTGTAATTATACACTTGTTTGTGTAATTATTTGATGATTTTCCTCCTTAACAGAATGAGAGCTGCAAAACAGTGGCACAGCACTTGATGACATAATAGGCACTCAGTGCATATTTGTCAAATGAATGAAGGAGCGAAGGAACAAATGAATTAGTGAAGGAATAAAGGCCTGTATGTGTAGTCCAAAGCTACTCACAACACACATTGCTTTATCACATAAACTCATTCTAAATGTTCCATTCTATTCTATAGCAGGTTTTAAATATAAAAGAATGCTTTACATTACCTGCCATCATGAGAAATTGATCATCCTAGCAAACACAGTCCATCTGCAGCCTTATGGACACTGTGGCACACCACTATGCCTCCCCAGACATGCTATATGTGTCCCAATTTCAGAAGCTAAGATTTTTGTGTGCTTGGCACCTCCCACATGATAGCTGAGAAACGGAAGTCGGGATCCATGACCTTAGCAGAGATTTGTGTCTCAGCTGAGGAACAGGAGGCACAGGGACAATGGAATTTTCCCAAGGTCACAGAGCCAGCTAGTCTTTTAATTTACATTTTATTTATACATTTTTTAAATAAATCCATCTTCCTGTCACGTTGGAGAGTAGATAAGAAAAGAAGGCTGGGCATGCTTCCTCCTGGGTTTGACTCCCAGGTTTGCTAGTGGGGTGGCCACTGGCAAGTTGAACCTCAATATCCTCATCTGCAAAATGAGGAGAGTAAGATTACCCCATGGAGTTGTTGTGGGGATGGGATACATGCGAAAATCTCAGCACGCTGCCTGGTCCTCGCAAGGCACTCAGTGAAGTCTAGCTGCTGCTGTTAATGTTCCTGACGTGGAGCTTGGGGTGGGGGAGGGGGGAGTGGAAGAACTGACCTTGGCCTTCAAGGGGTGGGAGCCCAAGACAAGATGCTCCCACTCAAGAAACTTGGGGAAGACAGGCCTTGCTCCAGCTCAAGAGGAAACTTCCATGGGACCCCTTTAACTGTCTCTCTCCAGGAGTGGTTGAATCTGCTGCCTTGGTCGTTTGGTTGAGAAGACAAATTAGCCAGAAAGCATTTTTGTTCACGGACACCCAGCAGGTGCTAGAGTTTGTGAAATCCAGGCCCTTGGTCATCATCGGCTTCTTCCAGGTACTGGATTCAAG